AAAAAAATAATTTTTAATAAATATATTATACAATATTTTAAATTAGAGTATATATTAATTAATGTCTTTAATATAAACAGAAGGGCACTATGCAGACATTATTGCATCGAGGCAAAATGCTCTCTCATTCTATTCCATTTTTTCTTCTTTACTTATTTATACATAGTGCCTGCTCATGATCACATTAATCTCCTTATTATATTTATTAATGGTTGCCATGTGACGGGATAATCCCAAAAATTAACTCTAATCAGATTTTCATATGTATGATCCAAAAGGAAAATTTTTTATGATTTTCAAGTACTTTCTACATATCGTTAACAAAAATGAATGAATGAATTTGCCATGTTAGAATAATTTGTACAAGAACATGTGATCACATTAAATCACAAGAATTAAAAGAGCTTGCTCCCAAACTCAGAAGGTGATAGTTGCTTGAGTTCTTTGATGTTCCTTCCTAGCTGAAGAGCCAACTTCAATTCAAGAACTTCTCCGTTTTCTCTTGTCTCAACATCCCTTTCATTGATGTTGGACTCTATACTCTCTTGAACAAGCTTAAAGAAACCGGCGTTGCTCCGGTACATCTCGAACACCATCCCTACTTGGCAGCCATGTTCTATGCTGTTCACCACGGTGGCCAGAGCACCGGCAATGACTCCAACCATCACGGCTGCTGAACCGAGGGATGTGCCAATGAAAGCAGACCCCAGAGCTCCCAGAGCAGTTAGTAAAGGACCGGAGATTGCTAGTATTCTGTTGAAGTCCAAGGCTTTTTTCCCCAACCTTAAGTATTCCGCTACATCCTTTCTCTTCAAGACTTCAGCAATTTCCCTCATTTCCTCTTCTATTTTTGGATTCCATCCGTTTCCTTCTACTCTACCCCCTGCACTCTCCTGTCTTCTCCTTTGTTTTTGCTGCGGCCACCACACTGCGGGTTCGACCAAAGAAGGGAATTTTTCAAGCATGGCGCCGAGGAGAGGAAGAGGGTAAGCCTTATCAAGAGCCAAAACTCTCTCCATTGCTACATTCACATCGTTGATGGTAACTTTTCCAAGAGATAACTTCATCTGGAGTTCGAAATGGAGCTGCTTGAATAATCTAACAGCATTCCTTTGTTCTTCTGCGAGTTGGGACGGCTGGATCTTGTTCATCATCAACAAAATTCCAGTGGCTGCGGAGTAAAGTACCGTGGAAGAGACCTTGAGTGCTAAAAGGGGTCCACCGGTTACACTTGCGGCGGCCGCCAGCCCGTTCATGGTGGCAGCAGCAAGGGTCATGGTGTTGAGGGAAGTCAGAAGGAGGCGGTTCCAGTTGTCCCTCTGCTCTCCGATATTCTTATGCATCTCCACCCTATCCGCAACAGCGTCCATGATTGCGTAAAATTTAGAATCCACGACAGGGTCAGGAGATTTGTCTGCATGGGTCGAAGGGGAGCTTATTGTATAAGCACTACTACCATTTCTCAAGCTCAATTCCTCAATCAAACTCCTACCTGAGAGATTTGGGAAAGAGATTGGATCCATGGTGATTTCAGGACCCCTAATGGCAGCACAAACTATTCCTCCACGACGAGGGCAATGAAACTGGGCCAGACCCTTGTATAAGAACAAGCTTGAAGACTGAACTGTGGCCATGTGGTAGAAAAATTGAGTACTCTTAAGGTGTGTGATGAAGTGAGATGGAGAGTTTTAGAGATGGATTGAATGTATTTATACAAGTGGGGCTTTGGAATAGGTCTAAGCTTTCAAGGCTTGAACAGGGTTGCATAGGAATCGGGGAATTTGATTTAGACCCTTTCTTTAAAACCAATCGCGCGTGGATCTTGTCTCCCTGGGCAGGCATTCCTCTTATCTGACTTTCAGGGCTCAAGTTTGAACGACTGTTCCGCGTCAAAGTCTTGAAACAGCCAGCGGCCTCACCATCACGGTTTTTGTCTTCCCCCTGTGTGGTCATGGTCTACATTGTTTTTTCCATTAGCGATCAGATTGAATCATACTATAATTCACCCTTTTTGTACTTTTAAAAACGGGTCATTAACGCAGATAAAATTCTTAGGAGTTGGGACCACTACCTACGTTGACATTTTACCAAATCAAACCTTGTTGATAAGTCAATTAGTGTGTGTTTAACAAATTTAATTTTTAATACGGTTTAAAGGCAAGTTATTAATGTTTAGATTAATAATATTTTGAAGTACTATTTGCTTATAACTTTTTTAACAATTATAAACCGTGATTAGAAGTTGAGGAGTAAACTTTATTAACACTAGAGTAGATAATTATCACACTTCGGTTAAGGCACTGTTTGGATTATATTAAATATATATATATGGCTCCAGTCTACATATATAAAAGTCATCATATTAGTTATTAATGTTTCTTACAAAATTTTTGATAATGACACAATTAGGTATATGTTTTCCAATTGTCTGTTGATTTTTTCTGTCTTTGTTTCTTGACCAATAATAGTAGTAATAATTCTGAACTTGCTAACACTGTGTAATTAATAATAAGCATAAATACACTTCAAAACAATTTTGAAAATTGTAGAAAACAATTTTGAAAATTGTAGCAAACAATGCCTTACATAATCCACTGATTAGCGCATACATACCAAGATTTGCCATCTATCTTAATGGAAGCAAAAACACATGCATGTTGAATACTGTATTTATGCATAAATGTGATAGCCTGGCCGTACGATGCGCAATGTTTTATTTTAACATTTTTTTATTATAATATTTGCACGGTTGCTACTTTTCTTCATTTTAGAAATTCTCTTCCCCACGGATTTTGTAGTTTCTCAGCAATGCAGAAATTTTATCTTCGTGTCATGCCAATTTAGCAGTCTTTTTTTTTTTTGAACAGCGCCAATTTAGCAGTCTAATTTATAATATGAAAAAGATTACAGCAATGAACGTGACCATAGCAGCGTGTACTAGGAGTTGGTCTCATTTTTATTTCGGTCAAATGCCTGGATTCACAATGTACTTGTCAACCACAAAACAGGATGCAGAAGGAATGCCATTAGAATTATGTACATTCCAAGACTTTTGGATCTCGGAGTGGTGCACTCACACCTTAAATAGCACACACATGGACATGTCTTCTGTACATGTCGCCTCAACTTGCTGACGGCGCCTAACCAGGATAGGATTCATAGGAACTCTAGTAAGCGGCCCGTTGGCCGCGCGTCTTATTAAGATTGATGGGTTATTTATCAAATCTGGGGATCGAATCTCCAATTATTAACATCTAACAATACTAACTTATTAACCATTGCCCTTATCAAAAAAAAAAAGAAAAAGAAAAAAGGATAAGATTCATAGACTCATACGCCAACATTCCTCATGAAACTTTGATGCTTAATTGACATCTTGATTGTATACTTGCTGTATATAAAAATGAATGCTAGCACATAATGTCTCATATCATCGGTGCCATACAAACACTTTGCAGCATCAAAAACAACTCCGCATGTGTGTACAACGACAACTCAATTGTCATAGTTCTCAGGTCTCCATATGACAATCAATATCTTCAAAGTTAGACGGGCCTAAATATATTAGATCCCATGCGATTTTTATTAGAACTGATACAATGCGCTTAAATTTGATCCTGGATATATTGCTGCTTTCTTTTCAATTATTTGAAAATGGTCAACACTTTAGATCTTACACGTAGATTCAGGAATATCCCCTTGAAATTTGAATATGAAAAGAAATAAATCATAGTTTCATAACCTCAAGGGTTGTATGACTTGAATCCATTGCTAAACAAGTGTTGTTCTGTAGATTAGATTCAAGGTTAAATCTTGAAGTAAGCACCCTATGAAAATTACTTTCCTTTTGAATGCACCAAATTGACGTGAAAAATGTGCCTTTAAAATCACCAAAAAAAGGATTAGTCTCAAGATATGCATTATCAAAAGAAGAATAGAACAATAATTGATACATTATTTAATTCAACAAATCCTACAACACACTTATAAGAAATTATTATTTTCAAATTTGAATTAAAGATGTGAAATTTCAAATCAGTAAATTTAATGGTTGAACCAATAAGTATTATGAGGTGTTGAACTGAAAGGAATATCAATAATTTTTCAAAAAATATCATCTTTTAAAAATAATTGGTAGACTCAATTTAATACACTTTCTAATACTCATTCTAGTTCAGTCATTAAAATATATCATACGTATTATCAATTCAATGTGTTCTTACATTTTGTATGTATGATTGCATATTTAAGTTTATCTATTTTTAATTTCATATTAAAAAATATTAATTTTTTATTAAATGTGTTGTGTAATATATTAAATAAGAGTGTGTAGCAATTATTGTCCATTATCTTTTCATTGCTTATGACTCTTGTGAAGTTTTGGCAAGAAATTAAGAGATTAAATTTATACACCAACAGCATGCATGCCACAAAACTGTGGAAGATGACGCGGAACTGCAATGGCACGTATTAGTGGTTTATCCATCCTTCAACCGGCCAGAACTGCATTTTCATTAATTTCAGTTATGACCGTACGTAAGAGATTAAAGGAAACATTTTTCCATGTGAAAAAAGGGAATATCAAAATGGATAGTGGGAGGAAAGAGATATACCGTCCAGGATGTATATTGCACCGTGGGATACCTCCCACTTGATATTAGTTTTTCACATGCATCCATGGTCTTCCTGCATTCACATTTCTCATTAGACCATAAGCAACACGCATCTTGCTTTCTGATATTAAAAACAGGCAATTACACTAACATGTTTTTTTCAAAGGGATTTAGAGTATCTGACTATGTTCTTACTTTGCCATATTTGCTTCCAAGCTCACTTTTCTTGTGAAAAGTTAAATAACTTTTTGGACTTCATAACATTAGTGATTGAATTTGATAACATAAACCAAGGTCAGACTTTAGGAGGAGCCGAAAGTGGCAAAACTAGTTTACATTCAATAAATAAGAACTTCACACAGTCAAACGGACTTACGGGCACATCGTAGCTCAATACATCACTAACAAGCAAACCCTCAGATGTTCTTACTAAATAAGATTTTATTAAAGGTGTTTTTTTCCCATAATTTCTGTCTTTAAAAAAAATAATAATATGTTTAGTTTGAAACAAATGAAAAAGAGGAAAATGAAGAGAAATTGACTTCATTTCCCTCCTTACATCTCTTTTCATTTAAAAAAATAAGTGAAGGACTCCCATGTCATCCAAAATTTTTACTAACCAAATAAAAGAATGTTTGCCTATCACCTCCCCTCAAACCAAATATACAATAAACATATTATTTTTCACATTTTGTCCTTGAGCATTGGGGCTTGATCTTAATTTTATACAAAAGATTAAAGTTTGTTGGGCTTCATATTTTTGGGTTGAAAGCGGAAAAAGTCAAACACAACTTAGAAAGTTAAAGCAAAATTTCATTTAAAAAAAAAAATGCTCAACCAAACCAAAAATAAAAGTAGAAAGTTAGGTTTATTTTCCCCAATTATACTAACATATAAAAATTTTAAATTTATATTTAAGGAAAAGAATTGGACAAAAGCATTAGTCAATACTTTGGATTCAAACCCTTCTGTTAAGTAAAAGATGGAAAGAGTTTAGAGTTTAATATATTTTTAAAATATTTTTTCAATGAGCGTAAAAGAATGACAAAAACCTCTAACAATGAAATTTGTTCAAACCATTCTCGATCACAAAAATCCTTGACCACACGATGCTTGGAGTGAAGATAAAGATTTTTCCCAGTCCAAGTCATATCTCAATAGGGCAAAAATCACCAACTAGTCCCCGAACTTGCTAAGTTTGAACCTAGTTTTCCCCAAATTATAGCTTTGCAACCTTAAGCCCCTGAACCCCAAGGGTTTGAAACTTAACACCATTTTAATAGTAAAAACTCATGTCTTGTTAAGTCCGTCACCCTTGGTCAAAAATTGCCATGTCACCCCACACATCAATAAATTTATTCCACCTAAGCATGCCGTGTCATAATATCACTTTTTTAATGCCAAAATTATCTTTTTACCCTAATTTGTTATCAAATTTTCAAATCCCACCACCCTTTCCTCTATCCAATTAAAAACCTCAACATTTCTTGCATTTTTGGGCATTTAATCAATATAAGTCACTTCCAAACCCAAAAGAATTTAACAATAGTTTATTCAAAGTCATTTCATTCTAAGAAAATTCATTTTACTATCAATTAGTTTTTAAATAAAAAATTAAACAAAAAGCTAAAAAAAAAAAAAAATGAAAACCCAAATCTAGGTTTCAAATCTTGGAACCCCTTCTTTTCTATTTGCTCCTTCCTTTCTTATCCTTTCAACAAGAACCCAATTGAGCTCCTCAATTATCATTGTGGACTTATTATATTGTAGAAAATAAAACCAACACTTCTCTAACTTCATCTAGTTCTCTAGTTAATAAACCAATACAATTTTTTGAAAGAAAAAACAAAACAAAAGAAAACATAAAATCATAAAAGAGCAAGATTCCAAGCTATAAGATTAATTTAATAACTCAAACGTAGCCTTTAGACTTGCATCCAAGCATTCAATTTAAGTTGTTTAATCTAAGGAAAACATACTTTATATCTATCAATTCCTCTTAGCATTTCCATAACCTTCTCGGCTTCTCCTCCTATCTAGTAACCAATGGTGGTAGTTCTTCTACAAAAC